GTTTTTGCACGATTTCATGTTAGATTTGGATCATTTGAAAACATGGACGCAGACCAGCATGGCCTATCTTGATGGAAAAAACTGGCAAAAAGAAAATATTGCGGCAAAGAAATAGTGACACAAAATCTACGTTCACCCAAAATTGACATTACTATTTAAAGTACAGATTTTGCCACGAACCTTGGATATTTGCTTATTTTTCTACCTTATATAACTTTCGTGAAGTTAATATGTTATTGATTGTCTTCATTGGATTTCTGCATGTAAATATGTAAATAAATTGTTATTGCATATTTCCACATATTGGAAATGATATAGATTGAGATTGGGTAATAAAAGCTGTCACACCGTAATGGCTATATTGTGGTGACTGTATTTTTTTTTTAAGATTACTATTGCATCTAGGTGCGTCCAGCGGAAAAGCTGATATCTTGAGCATTTCTTCACCTCTTTATCTGATGTTTCTAAATGTCTCATCTTCACGAGAATATGACAAAACCAAAACATTCCTTTAGTAAGATGGCTAAGTCGGTGAGGAATGTCATCCTCAGCACTGATGTTAGAGAGTTTTAAAACGGAGAAGCGATCCAAAATAAATCCCACATCTAAAAGATCTGCCAGGTCTAAAATTTATAGTTCAAGGCCTTTACTAAAATAGAGACAGAAACCATGCTAGAAGGTTTCTAGTAGGTAGCTACCATGGTATTCAAAGCCACTGCCCAAGGTAATGCATGGAGCCTTCTATGGATGAATATTGACTTCGTTTTTGCACAATTTCATGTTAGATTTGGATCATTCGGATGATAACACTGTAATCTTTTATCTTTATTTCAAGGTGGAATTTCAAGATGTTGTCAGAGAACCTTGAATACAGAAGTCCATCGAGACCTTCAGAAGAGTTACTACAGACAGCAACCACCATCATGTTCTATAACCGCAGTGGTGTAAGTCAGAAAAATTATCCAATATTAAAGTATCTTTAAGTTTTTTTAAATGTTGAGCCCAAATTGTTCATGTATATTCTTCCCTTGCTGACTGTTAATTTTCTCTTTTGTGATTTTCAACAGATTCACCACAATTAGTGGCAGGAGAATCTGCTCTGCTTTAAAACCGTGGACGCAGACCAGCATGGCCTATCTCGATGGAAAAAAACTAGGAGAAACAGAGAACACCTTCATTGCATAACTCCAGTGTCCAGGGTGCTTTTTGTGTTATGCCAGTGAAACAAATAGCTCTTTGTTCTATAAAGGATAATAAGTAAAACAAACATGGCTGAATTATTAAAACTATTTTATGAATTGTTAAAAATTGTTAAATTAAATTGTTAAAAATTAAAAACATTGTTTTTGCCTTTAAAAAGCATTACGAAGGACATCACAGCTGCTTCCTAATTTATATAAACTCACTGATGTGTTAGATTATTGTCCTGCAGTATATTGTACATTGCCAAAACACGGTATCATGGTAGACACACCTTCATTGGTGTACAGTGGGGCAAAAAAATATTTAGTCAGCCACCGATTGTGCAAGTTCCCCCACTTAAAATGATGACAGAGGTCAGTAATTTGCACCAGAGGTACACTTCAACTGTGAGAGACAGAATGTGAAAAAAAAATCCATGAATTCACATGGTAGGATTTGTAAAGAATTTATTCGTAAATTAGGGTGGAAAATAAGTATTTGGTCACCTCAAACAAGGAAAATCTCTGGCTCTCACAGACCTGTAAGGTCTTCTGTAAGAAGCTTTTCTGTCCCCCACTCGTTACCTGTATGAATGGCACCTGTTTGAACTCATCATCTGTATAAAAGACACCTGTCCACAGCCTCAAACAGTCAGACTCCAAACTCCGCCATGGCCAAGACCAAAGAGCTTTCGAAGGACACCAGGAAAAGTATTGTAGACCTGCACCAGACTGGGAAGAGTGAATCTACAATAGGCAAGCAGCTTGGTGTGAAAAAATCAACTGTGGGAGCAATCATCAGAAAATGGAAGACATACAAGACCACTGATAATCTCCCTCGATCTGGGGCTCCACGCAAGATCTCATCCCGTGGGGTCAAAATGATCATGAGAACGGTGAGCAAAGATCCCAGAACCACACGGGGGGACCTGGTGAATGACCTGCAGAGAGCTGGGACCAAAGTAACAAAGGTCACCATCAGTAACACACTACAACGGCAGGGCTCCGTAAGAAGCATTTGAAAGTCCTGGAGTGGCCTAGCCAGTCTCCAGACCTCAACCCCATAGAAAATCTGTGGCGGGAGTTGAAAGTCCGTGTTGCTCGGCGACAGCCCCAAAACATCACTGCTCTTGAGAAGATCTGCATGGAGGAATGGGCCAAAATACCAGCTACTGTGTGTGCAAACCTGGTAAAGACCTATAGTAAACGTTTGACCTCTGTTATTGCCAACAAAGGTTATGTTACAAAGTATTGAGTTGTATTTTTGTTATTGACCAAATACTTATTTTCCACCCTGATTTACGAATAAATTCTTTACAAATCCTACCATGTGGATTCATGGATTTTTTTTTCACATTCTGTCTCTCACAGTTGAAGTGTACCTCTGGTGCAAATTACTGACCTCTGTCATCATTGTAGGTGGGGGAACTTGCACAATCGGTGGCTGACTAAATACTTTTTTGCCCCACTGTACATCTCATGATAGCATTGTGTTATGATGTATCTCCTACTTTATGTACTCTCTGATTCCCACTCTGAAATCTTACCTTACCTCTTACAAGTGACATATCATAAAGCAATTATTTAACTGTTGTTCATTATGTTTAACCCATCAGATTATATTTGATACATACAGTTTTTCTATGAAACACTATCATTGTTTCTCCCCCTCGAAAAACCAAACTAAATTCCACAGTAGTTGGTTTTTAAGCAATAGATTAAAACAAACAAACAAAAAAAACCTCATGTCAGATATATATGATACAAATTAAAGCTAAAATATTCAAGTCAACATTGGATTATTTTTTTTAAAAATTGTCAGAAGATTAAATGAAAATTCAATTTTCCAAAAAAAATTGAATTTTCTGGCAATAATTTCACTGTTTAGGTTTTAAAGGGTTAATACAACAGAATGAATTAATTTAATGTAAAAGTAGGAAGTGAACAGTCATCAGTTTGCCGATGCATCCCTGTCTCAACTTTTCTTTCACTTCTACACAGATTTGAGTGTGGGTTCAAGGTTCTTTATTTGTCACATGCATAGTTATACAAGTATAATACACAGTGAAATGTATCCTGACACGCTCCTCGACATGTGCAAAAATAGGGGGTGTAGAGGAAGAACATTATATATATAGTATATACATTGGGTGAATGTGCAGTAGTAGCAGCAAGTGTGTGTGTCTTCAGTCAGCAGTGGACACAGGTGTCTTAGCTTCACAAATTAAAGTTCATGTAGTCTGTTTTGCCTCATTTTGGTTATTTTGCTATACTATTGCATCTTCAACACATAACGTTTGTCAAAATTTTGCAAACCATTTTTGATGGTCTAAAGTTCAGAGCTTTAGACCATCTAAGAAGGCTAGATTGTTGCTAAGCTGAGATGTCTAAAGCGTAACAACATGCCATTTAGTTGCAATTTTGCAGAAAATTAGTCACTGACACCCGGTTTGTTTCCCTCAGCTTGCTGTGTGTCAGTGGTTTTTCTATAAATCCCTGCGGTGTTTGTAAAAGGTGAGAAGTAATGTGTGCGAGCACAGCTGCAGTAACCTCACTGACACAGAATCAGACAGTTTTTTTCACCAAACACACACCTAAAAGGCTTCTAAAATGCTAATTATTACATATATTTAATGTAGTTTCTTCATGAGTGATGTATCTTGTAATGTGAGAAGGAAAGGTTTGATTTCAGTTTTCTTCAACCAAAAAAATTTAACATTTTTGCTTCTTTTATACATGAAACATTATACATTGATTTTTGGAAGGTTTTCTTGTACAGTAACACCTTCTCAACATTACACAGGTAATCACCAACCACCACCGGACATTTGTTAAATGAGCTTTAGGTTACACAGAAGTATACAAGTTTGAGTTCATATTACATTGCTTACATTGCCACACTAACAGCACCACATTCTCTCTGACATGGGGTAGAAGCATCAGATTGTCACTGGAGCATGTTGAGTTGGGGCCAATGTGCTAGAAAAGCAAAAACTAGATTTGTGCAAGTTTGTGCATCAGCAGAGAATATAAAATCCAGCTAAAATTAATTTTCCAATTGGACATTTAATTATATATATTCTCATTTCACTTATTTATAACATAAACTTTTTTTAAATTAGAAAACACAGCTATGATTCAACAGGCCATCAGTGTTTTTCCTTAAGAATGTATAAAAGTGAATGTAAGCTAACATCTGCATAAAACACATTTACAATTTATTTGTTAAAATCACAACATTTTACATTTGGATACAAAGATTTAGATATTTTAATATGTCAGTCAAAGATTTTGGGTACCACATCTTGACCCCTGCTGGTTTTGTTTCTGTCACAGCAAGCCCTGTGGAATTTAGTAAAGGATCCAAGATGCAGGCACGGCTTCTGGTGCGAGTGAGCTTTATTTTAATGGTGATGGTACAAACGGCAGAGGTGGTGGCAAGTACAGAACCTAAGATAAACTGGAAGAACTAACAAAACAGACCAGAAACAGCAACTCGGGGAAACAACACAGACAAACCAGCAACAAGCAGGAGAAAACACAGGGCTTAAATACAGACAGGAACAATCAGGGAATGAGAAACAGGAGGGAGACACAGCTGGGGTAATTAGGTCGAGACAAGGGAAGCGAAACTGAACACATTAACATCAGACCCAGACCTTCAAAGTAAAACAGGAAATAAACAGACTGGACTCTGAGACACAGTACAGACACTAAACAGAGGGAGCACAGAAACCAAACCCTAAGAACTAAAAAGTCCAAGCCCCATTACATTATCAGAACAAACTAAAACACAAGATCATAATAATAATAATAATAAAAAACACAAACAGCTGGGTCAAAAGACCCAAGCCAGGGGCGTTTATAGTCCATTTCAGAGGTGCTGAAGCACCTCTGAAATGAATCAAAGCACCCCCAAAGATTTCTTACTTTTTTTGACAATATTTGCTGTTTGTGTAATATATTAACAACAAAAGTATAGATATATGGAGACATTTAAGGATGCAAGGACTGACAGAGACAGGGAAGAAGTCTCATCGTGATAAGTAAAGTTTATCTTGACTGGCTGGGCAGCTCTCTGGATGCTCAGCACCTCCAATCGCCCCTGCCTAGGACCATGACAGTACCCCCCCTCGAGGGCTGGCTCCAGTAAAGCCGTACATGAAAAACAAAAATGTCCGTAAAACAGAAAACAACCTGACCAGGGGAGACGGTGGGGGACAAGGATGGAGGGCTCGAAACTTATGTCCAAAGAAACAAAACAGGAGCACCAATGGGTCCAAAACAGAACACGAGAGTCCAAAACCAAAAGTCCATGAAAGAAACTGGAGCCAAGAAACAGTTCGCAATTAGTTCAGGAGGTCGGCCTGGGGGGCAACAGCACAGAAGTCTGTATAGTTCCAGTGGCTGACCCAGAGCTCGGTAGCACGGGAACCAAGGGGAAAACAGTTCAGGGGGCCAACAGTGGGCAAGGCAGCGGCGGCAACGCAGGCAACACAGGTCCAGAGGCCGACCACGCAGAAGGCAGCGGCAGCGACGCAAGTGAAGCAGATCCAGAGGTCAGTTGCGCAGAAAGCAGTGGTGGCGGCGCAGGCAAAACAGGTCCCGAGGCCGGCTGTGCAGAAGGCAGCGCCGTTGACTGAGCAGGTGTGGAGGCCGGCTGCGTGGAAGATGGCGGCGATGCAGTTCAGGAGGTCGCCCATGATGGCAATGATGTCCAGCCGGTGGCCAGGAAAGTGGCCGGTGATGTGGAAAACGTGGAAGAGCCGGCCGTGCTAGACATGAACGGCCCATCCGAACAGGTTATGGACCAGACGATGGCATGGCAGCTGCAGGACCAGAGGCGACAGCGTGAAAGACGCAGGTGGCGACGCTGCAGGCTGGACGGGCCCCTCGGACCC